CAGCGAGGGCTCCACGAGTCCCGGGGCTGTCACCGTGTCCCAACTGTGGGCCCAACAATCTGGGGGAGCCCAGCCGAGAAGCCGGGCGGGGGGGAGGCTGGGTCCCTGCAGCACCCCCGCACCCAGCTGCCTCTGGCGGGGCTGGAGTAAGCAGAGGCCGGAGCCTGGGCCAGGCCCAGCCGGTGGGCTAGGGTTAGGGTTAGGGCTAGGGAGCCCCTCCCTGCAGGAGTGGGGGGCGAGGGCTCTGCTGAGGCCTGCGCCCCTGCCCAGGTCAGAGGAGGGGGGTGCCGAAGACTGAGGGCCACCCGGAGTCTCCCCAGAGCCGAGCTGTCCAGCATGTGGACGGGCTCATCGGTTGTGGAGGAGGCACTGTAACTTTCTCTCGTCCCCGAGTGACTGCGCTTGCCTTGGTCTGCTGTAACAGGGCTTTGGCCTCTCTCCTGTGTTCCTGGACCAAAGGGAGACCTCAGGGTCCCACAGTTCTGTCCCTGTGCTGGGCCCCTTCTTCTTCCTCACGGGAGATGAGGGGGAGATCCTGAGGTGTGGGTGGGGCTGAGGGGCCTGGAGAAGGCGGAGAGGTTGGGGAGAGGGACCAGGCCTTTGAGGTCGCCCTGTCGGAGGCCCGAGGGGGATATGTAAGGGACATCTGGCAGTGGGTGTGCCACGATAGGCCAGCAGGGGGCGCTGCGGTCCCAGGCCTGCCAGCCCGCTGGCAAACGCACTCTGTGTACCCTGCCGTGGTGGGCAGTGTCCTTGGAGAGTGAGAGGGCGGGGCACGCCCTGTGTGTGTCGCAGCGGGCTGCAGGTTGTGGGACTGGAATAGAGTTTTGCTGGGGGTCTCAAGCAGGAACCCCACCCGGAGCGACCTGGCACGGGGCTGGGCTTGGAAGAGTGTGGGCTTCTGTCTGTGCAGCTCTGAGGGACGGTAGAGACCCCAGGACCCCAGAGGTGGCAGTGGGGGCTCCCAGCAGGCGCAGCTGAGGGGCGGAGGGACATTGAGGCTCTCCCGGGTATCAAAGGGAGATAGGAAACAAAGGGAGATAGAGACCTGCTTATTTGTTTCATCTTCTCTCAGCTTTATTTATTTATTGCATTTCAATTGACTTTGCCATTTTTTAAAACTGTGGGACAATAGATATAAAATCTCTCACTTGAACCACTTTTGAGTGTATGATTCAGTGGCATCAGCATATTTACACTGTACAAACCTCACCACCATCCACCTTCCCGAGCTGAAATTCTGAAACCATTAAATAATGAGTCCTCATTTCCAGCTGCTCCCAGGTCCTGGTTAACGCCGTTCTTTGGTCCTGGGAATCGAACTTGGGACCTTGCCCTGGCAAGGCAGATGGAGGAGCCCCTGAGCGAACTCCCCAACCCTGGGTCAACGCCATTCTGCTTCGTCTGCTGGATCTAAGTGCCATTGGTCCTTTTGGGTTTTCATTAGCCTGATGTCTTCAGGGCTCATCCATATTGGAATACGTTATCAGAATTGTGTAGCCCAGGCTGGCCTTGGACTCATGGCGATCCTCTTGCCTCTGAGTGCTGGGATCACAGGTGTGTGCCGCCACGCCTGGCCATTTTTTGTTTGTTTGTTTTGTTTTTGGCCCAGCCTTGTTTGTTTTTGAGACCAGTCTCTATGTAGTTCAGGCTGGCTTTTAACTCACTGTGTAGCCTAGGCTAGCTACAAACTTGTGGCGATCCTCCTGCCTCAGCCTCCCAAGTGCTGAGGGTACAAGCACCGCTGCACCCCAATTGCCATCCACAATTTCTGAGCACCTGCCGTGGACGAGGCAGGCAAGTTGGACAAATCCATTTCTGAAAATCCAACAGCTGTTCTTTGCCAGCTGTCAGTGCAGTGGAGGCAATCGGAGGCTGTGGCCTGGAGTAGGCTTTCACCTGGGGAAGGCCCAGGCCGCACTCTCAGGGACACTGAAGGCTGACGAGGACCAAAAAGCCCCTGTTCCCAGGAGGCATCCAGGCTGAGGGGGCAGCGTGGCCTCTTCCCAGGGCGGGTGAGGGCTCCCCCAACGCCCAGAGGCCAGAAGGGCACCTGGAGCCCAGAGACTGCCCTGACTGCGGGGCGCAGGAAGGGGAGAGAGGCCGCACAGTGGCCCTGTCCGTTGTCCCAGGTTGCCTGCTATGGCCTGCTGTTTACTTTGTGGCCGGCTCAGGGCTCACACTTTTCTACAAGTGCTTATTTCCCACCATGAGCTAAGACGTCCGTCCCTCGGCGTCCCCGAGGCGGACACCAGCCCTCCTGCTAGCCAGGGTTCTGCCAGCCTGGCACCTCTGCCCTGCTCCTTGCCTCTGGGAGCAGCCTCATCCGAGGCCTCATGGGGATGTGGCCCGAAGGGTGGAGATGGTCATGGGAATGTGTGTGTCATTGTTGTGCATGCGTGTCCCGTGCCTGCACGTCTGGGTGTGAGTGTGACTATGAGAGTGGCCATCCAAAAAGTGATCCACGCAGCCTGCATTTATCAGACCTCAACTGTATGCTCTGGGACTGGGCTGAGTGCCTGTAATTGCTTAATCCTCCCGGCCCTTTGAGAGCTGGGTAATCTGCCAGAGTGTCACAGCTAGAAAGTGGTGGAGATGGGCAGGGTGGCGCACACCTGTGATCCCAGCACTTGGGAGGCTGAGGCAGGAGGATCACTGTGAGTTTGAGGCCAATTTGGGTTACATAGTGAGACCCTGTCTTAAAAAAGTCAGAGACAGAACTCAGACCCAGGAGCCCTGGACTCAAGAGGCCACATCTCAGCCCTAATTCACTCCTATTTGGGGGGTGTCCCCCTGGATCTCTGTACCCCGTGGGTGCCTCGTATCTCAAGCGCTTCCTTCTCACCTTGGCCTTCCTTGGCTGCGGCCCACTATGAGGGGGAGGAGTAAGGGTCCCAGGCCACCCCAACCACAGAGGGGGAGCCCTGGGCTGCAGGGGTCCCAAGTTCCCAGGGAGGAAGGCGCCACTCGCCCAGCCGGCTCCTCCGCTCGCCTGTGGGGACACGTCCTGGGGGTGGAGCCTGTGCCCTGCGGGGCTGGGAACCCGGCCGTTGGGGTGGAGGGCGGGAGCCGGTGTCGCATTGCGCTCGTGCCTGGAATGGCGCCGGCCCGGGCTGTGCCCTGTCCCTGTGCGGGCTGGGGGGCCGGAGGGTGGTCCTGGGGGACCAGGTGGTGCTTGGTCGATGCCAGGTGATTCTTTGGGCACAGTGGCACGGCTCATCACCTCGTGGTTTGGGGCCCACATTCTGGGCGAGGGCGCTGCCCACGCCAGAGGGAGGGAAAGCAGGCCACTCACCGAGCCCCTCTCTCCCTTCCCTCTCTCCCAGTCCCTGACCCCTGTGCTCCCCCTCAGCCCTTTCCGAGACCCTTCAGCCCGGGCCAGACGCTAGAGGGCTGACCTGACTGGGGTCCCTGTCTGTCCCTCAGGAGCAGCGGCTGGAGCCCCCACAGCAGCCTCCGCTGTCAGTGGTGGGGGTCGCCTTCGGTGGCAGCGACTGAGGCTGGCTGGGCCCGAGCCTGGAACTTCAGGACCCAACTCCCCCAAAAAAGGGAAGGAGCTGGGAAACTCCTGAGGGTGCCCCAGGCCTCGGCCCCGCAGTTCCACGGAGAGAGAGGTGGGAGGGATTAGAACCCCAGGCTCTGAATCAGCTCAGTGACCAGAGCTAAGAGCAGGGATTAAAAAGGACGCAGCCTGCCCCGTGTACTAACAGCATGGCCCTTGTCTGTAACCCTGGCACTCCAGAGGGAGGCTGAGGCAGGAGGATTGCCATGAGTTCAAGGTCAGCCTGAACTAAGTGGCGAGACCCTGTCTCAAACAAAACAAAGCAAAATAAACAAACAGAAAAGGCCGCCTTCCTATCCAGCTCTCAGTGTAAGGAGGGTCAGATGGGAACCAGGGAAGGTGCTGTCAGGGGTGCCTTCCCTTTGGGGTCCAGCCTCCAAACTCCTCCCCAGGACTCCAGGGGATTTTGCAAGCTGGTCAGCTCGAGCGGCAGGGGGAGGGACGATCAGTAATTCCTGCCCCCAGTGGGGGCGGAAGCGGGGCGGGGGAGGACTTGCTGGGCAGGAAGGCTTGGAATAGAATCTCAGCAACGCCTGGTATTTCCCAGCCCGGCCCCTCCCCCACAGCCTCTGGGGCCCACCCCACATTCCTTTCCCGGAGGAAACGGGGAGGGGGCAGGCTCCCCAGGCCGGGACTCCGCATAGCCCTAGGTCACCTGTCTAGGTCTGGCGGCTTCCAGTGTCTGAAGCCTTGGGCATAGAAACCCCGGCAGCCCTGTCTCTACCTCTCCCTTTCCTGCAGCCTCTCAAGGCCCCATGAGTTTCTGTCTGTTTTTGAGACAAGGTCTTACTATGTAGCCTGAGCTGGGCGATCAGGGCGATCCTCTTGCCTCAGCCTCCTGAATGCTGGGATTACAGGTGTGCGCCACTGTGCCTCCCCACGGTTTTGAGGGAGAGAGGCCGCATCCATCTGGGACAGGCAGCACCTGTCATCCGGGTGAGGTGACGGGGCCCGGAGGGGACCGTCCTTTTCCTCAGCTTCAGGAGTGGCCTTGCAGCAAGGGGAAAGGCAGCTCCCTACCAAGGTCTGTGAGGGGCGTGTGACAGAGAGGGACCCGCCAGCCAAGGGCAGCAGCCGGCCAGACCCAGAATCCTTGGTTTCCTAGCCCCACAGGGCGGGAAGAGGGTGCGGATGGATGTGCCGGCCGCTGTCCCTGACTGCCCTGCCGTCCCTCCCTCTGTCCCCCAGGTCCTCCTGACTCAGCGGCCATGGGGCTTCCACAGGGCTTCCGCCAGGGTGGGGGTGGGGGGCCAACTCAGGCTTGAGGCCACCGAGGGAAACAGGAAACGGGAGAACAAAACCGCTCGGCCTCCTCCCTCTTCCTCCCCCCTCGCTCCTGCTGCCCACCCCGGCCGGCCCCTTCCCCTCTCCTCTCCCTGCTCTCCTCAGCCCTCCTGGCGTGTGGTGGAGAGGGGTGGGGAGGGAGGGGAGCTGACATCTGCCTCGTGTTGCTTCCAGTTGTCCTGGGGGATTTCTGGATTTGGGAGCCTTCTCGGGCCCTTGGCTGCTGACTGGGGTTTGGGGTCAGACCCAAAGCTGGAACCCAGGGCTCCGAGGCTGTGTTCCGGTGCTGCAGTGACACCGTGACACTCTGGGCCTCAGCTTCATTCTCCACACACAGGGCCACAGCGAGGGGCTGGAGTGCGAGCAGTTCGGTGTGACAGGAACACAGGAGACCGATGACACAAACCCGCCAAGGGCTCTGCCCAGGAAGGGGAAAGGGCTGGGAGCAGAGCACCGGGAAAGGGGAGGCGGGCAGGCCTGGCACCTGGCACGCAGGGGCTTCCGGTGATTCACCCTGGGAAGGCTGGGGACCCCCTGGCTGTCCGAGGAGCCGCCGGGTGTCCAGTGAGGGCGAGGGTGCCTGTCATGGGCGTGCTTTCGCAGGCACAGTGGGTATGTGGCAGATGTGTCTCTGAGGTTGTGCGTGCATGTGTGTGTGTGTGTGGGACAGGCAGGGCCTGCAGGACCGAGGTGAACGCGATGGGTGTGTACTGCGGGTCTGCTGCCGTGTGTGCAGTGCGTGTGTGAACCCGTCTCTCCGGGTGTGCTCATGTGTGGGGCGGGCATGAGGTG